CACACACACACAGAGACGTAGGCTCAGAGAGAGAGAGAGACATAAAATGACAATTTTCAAACCAAAATATCTGACTTCCTGTTGGTTGGAGCTATTGAGTGTAAATTAGAAACTTGTCTGGCTGGAGGAGAACAATACACATACCGATTTTTATTACTGTAGATAAAATTAATCCCCCCACTTTTGACAAAAGGTGGCGCTACTGAGCCCTCAACACGCCCGTTTCTGAAACTTTGCACATGTCTACTGGCTAATAAATGAGATGTGTCTGTCGAGTTTCATGCAATTTTAAGCAATTTCAGGCATGCTAAGAGTCTCAAAAGCATAAAAAAAGAATATTAAAGTTTGATGCGTTGCCACGACAACAGTATCTAAGATATCAAGAATCCATTCACAGGTCTACATCTGCCGTGTGTTTACATTATAGTAGTGAAGTTTGAAGCAAATCGGGTAAAAATAAGAGGGTGATTTCAAAGCATTTAGGAAGTGACACACTTCCTTCTGCCAGTTGGTGGCGCTATAACTTTGACTCACAATAGTCACATCCATGTGATCGGGCTCTTACAACGAACACACTGGTGAAGTTTCATCAAGATCAGTTAATGTATGCAGTAGTTATGACACACTTCCTGTTTCACGTTTCTCGCCATAATTTTGTTTCCTCGCCACGGCCAAACCGTTCGAGATATCAAAAATCCCCTCGCAAACTTTCATCCTCAATGTCTTGACTTCATGCTGACCGAGTTTCGTGCCGTTTGTTTGAATTCTCTAGGAGGAGTATTTCACATTCCATTGCGTGTGTTTTACCAACAACCCTAAATAGCCGACTTCCTGTTGGGCTGGGGTAAAAAGTAAGAGTGTGAAGTATAAATGAAACGAGGAGATCTACATGTGTACCGAGTTTCATATTATTACATGCAAGTGTGTTTGATTTATGGACCATGTTTTCGGACCCCGTTCCAGGGGGCGCTGTCGAGCCCCCCTGCCACGCCCGGGTACCATCTTCAGCCCGGCCCTGATGGCCGCGGGTTCTGACCAGTGTGCAAAGTTTCAGGAGTTTTTGAGCATGTTAAGGCCTCCAAAAGTGTCCAAAAGGTAGCAGAAAAATAATAAGAATAATAATAATAATAAATAATCCTAAGGAAAACAATAGGGCCTTCGCCCTTTGGGCTTGGGCCCTAATAATAATAATAATAATAATAAATAATCCTAAGGAAAACAATAGGGCCTTCGCCCTTTGGGCTTGGGCCCTAAATATACACATTTGCAGATAGTGAAATATTTGCGCATCATTGTACACATTTGTAGATTGTCTTCTGTGGGTTACAAATATTAAAGTCCAATTAATTCTTCCATACAGATCTTGCTGCTTTGCTCATGTAAGTCAAGTTTGAAGAACCCAAGTGCAGCATTTATTCAAAACAAAATCAAACATAAAACAAAGGCATGATGGGGCATGAACTCAAAACATGAACATGAACACTTACAAACAGTGGTTACACAAACAATACTTAACAAAGACACAAGGCAAACATGAGGGCTTACAAGACTAATGACTAGACAAGGGACACCTGTGAACATAATCGAGACAATCAACTGTAGCGATTCTAGCTCAAATAAAGGGAATATAATTTTAATAACTGATCATGAATATGACCAGGGATCGCATACACAGATTAAAATTACCCGTAAAGGGGATACGTTGCCAATGTATCTGTATGGACACTTAAATACAACGGATTATAATCAATTATCCATACAGGTAGGCAAAAATAGATCAATTGTATATATCAATAATCAATCACAACGAATTATAATTAAATATGAATATGTCAATTGTCTAGGATAGATCGATTCCAAGGATAACCCTTATGGAATTAATTTGTTATCTAATAATCTGTTCATCCAGCAAACTGATCGTACGATCTTTCATCAACCCTCAAGAGAAATTATCCTTATAGACTCGCAAGAAAGGCTATCTTTCTGGCCATGAAAAATAACTTTCCTGTTTTATAAAAATACTAATTAAAGTATCAACAAGTTGTAAAGCTTGTAGCTTATATCGAACATTTAAGGGACTTCGTAATATGAGCAACAGACAGAGTCAATAAATGAATATAATGGATTTAAAGGAAAACTACGTATACCGGTGACTAACGTTACAAGGAATTAATGTATATGCAACAAAATAAAGCAACAAACAATGAAAGAAAATGAGAATAAGAGAGTGATAGGAAAAGGGAGAGAATGATCAGTCAGTTATGGCAAAATCACAGACAAAAGGAACTTTGAGAGAGAGACACCAAGATATCAAATCACCCTAAATCCTCTTAAGGACAATGAAGAGTTTACACCTCCTTTGGGGTGAATGACCAATCACCTTAGAGATGTTTGAGAGGGAAAAGACTTTCTTTGTCCTGTCAAGGCGGCTCATCTGCATAGTTTATGGCGGCGTTAAAAGTTGTCCTTTCTCCTCCGGAGAAATGTTATACATATAATCACACATTTTACTGTATGCTTATATATATCTAGCTTGGTGAGACCAAGGGGATCCTGAAGGTATCAAAAACTACGCGAAACAGACATAGGGGTGCAGAGATGCATCTTAATGCATAATTACAAGCACCTATAGTTCATTTAATACTACGATAAAATCATAGATACCCCAATATGACATGGGCAAGTAGGCAAACATAAAAACATATCAAATATATCTTAGTAATGTCTTTATATGAGGAAGTTAATGAAAAGTATGTGTATGTGTGTGTGAGATGGCTTCATAGTCTCTAGGGGTGAATTTGTGTGTGTGGAGCACACAACGGGGGGGCTTGGAATTCCTTTGATGCGGCCCAAGTGAGTGGAGAGGAGTCTCCGATGTCTCTGGAGAGGATCGCTGAGTCGTAAATGGTGTCAGAAAACAATCTAATCCCAGACATGTTGGCATCGTGCCGGTAATTTAGATTGCCGAGAGTCCTGATTTACATTCGCGAGTTCAGAGTGTAAAAGCTTTGGATTTCAGAAGGAATGTGCATTATTTGTGTTCAGATGAACGAACCATGATTCTGGTTCATCCGCTACACAACCAATGACAACATGACACATTCACATGGGGAACATATGGCAGGATCACATGACTATAACAGGGGTTCACATGACAGACATGAAACAAGAACATGAAACAAAACCAAAACGTGACAAATCCCCCCCTCTATGGGCGGCTCCCGACGCCCATCATGAAACAAAAACACAAGAGTCCAGGAGGGTGGGCCAGGCCCGTGCAGGGGAACAGGGCTAAGACCGTGGCTAGCCCTGTTCCGTGGAGCGTGGGCGGATCTGTCAGGCTATGAAGCCTCCAGGGTGGATCAGACAGTTTAGGGGACCAAGGAGGAGCCCCTTATCCACAATTCCCACAGTAAACGAGGAACCACTCAGCAGAAGGGCATGGTCGATGTATTCCTCCAGGGGCCAGTGTATTTTCCCCCTAGGGAGCCGTGAACTAATGGGTTCATTCAAACCCACACAAAAAATGTGCCACGTCATTAAAATTCACCAAGCAACATAGTCCACAAAAATCTTCAACATAGTCCTCAATGGACCGTTTGCCTTGACAAAGGCAAAGGAGGGCTACTGCTGAGTTCATGTTAAGGTCAAATATTCTGTAAGTAAGTCCACTGAAGGCAAGTTTGAAGATGCAAGTGCAGCATTTATTCAAAACAAGATCAAACATAAAACAAAGGCATGACATGGCATAAACTCAAAACGTGAACACTGTCAAGTATTGTTTGTGTAACAACTGTTTGCAAAAGACACAAGGCAAACATAAGGGGTTATACAAGACTAATGACTAGACAAGGGACACCTGTGAACATAATCAAGACAATCAACCAATGACAACATGACACATTCACATGGGGAACACATGGCAGGATCACATGACTATAACGGGTTCACATTACAGACATGAAACAAGATCATGAAACAAAACCAAAACTGACAGCTCAGTAGATAGTGTCATTACTATACAGTTGTGGTGATATGTTAACATACACATTGCAGAATCTACAAAATAATTGGGATCATAAAAATTGCTTCTATAATAGCTGGGCAGGGCAGTACTAAATACATTTAAAAAAAACATGAAAAATACCCCCCAAAAAACATTTTTTTTATAAATCCTCCCATGTTGTTAAAATTATTAATATTTAGCAGATTCTGCAAGGTTTATGAAAATGTTTGGACCCAGCTGTGGGCAGTGTTGGGGACACTGGAGGCATTACAAGTAATGTGAGTTACGAAATCAGATTACTTTTTTTTTTTTTAAATAATGATTAATGCAATACTTTCAAATGTACAATTAAATATCTGAGTTACTTTTTCAAATAAGTAACCCAAGTTACTTTGTTTTCTCATTTATGGACAGACACCTCTCCTGTCCATATTAAATAAAACAAATATATGTATTTAATCTCACTTTATTGACCAATGACCAATGAATTGCTGCTGACCTTCATTGATCAAATTCAACCATTCTAATAAGCAAAAATGACTTTAGTCACTCTTAGTCACATTTGTTTTTAAGTAAGTGAACTCCCTTCTCCTGTCCCCCATTCTTTTGCAGTCCAGAATGGCAGCACAGCTGAAAGGTTTGTTTGAACTGCCCCTCTACTGTACAAGAGTGAGTTTTCCTCTCCTCCAGCCTGAGTCTTATTCATTTCACTCTTGGTGTGAAACGGCCTTTACATTAGTCAAAAATAGAAGTTTAGTTTTTTTATATTAAAAAACAAACAAGCAAGAAACATTACATTACTGAGAAAAACTAACACAAAAGTAACGTAACGCATCACCTTCCATGAAAATTAACTAAGTAATGTTAGTTTTTAGGGAGTAACGCAATATTGTAACATCACTTTTAGAAGTAACTTTCCCCAACACTGGCTGTTGGTAGAGTATGAATGTACAGACTGCAATATATTTTATAAAGTGTGTGTGTTCTGTTACAGGGTTCAGCAGGAGCAGTTGGCTGCCATCTTCCAGCTACTCAGAGACAAACAAGACACGTTCGGTGACGTGACCGAGGGCGATTTACAGGAACAGCTTAAACTCTACTCTGTTTGACAGATCAACTCAAAAGACTGTACTGAGTGATGCACCGGGATGTCTGTATATGTGGATTTGGTTAAGCTCCTCGTCATCTTCATAGATTCAAATACTTTTTATGCAAGTGTTCAAATTAATACCTGTCACAAATAATTGACAAATGATTTATTAGATCAGATTTATTGAAGTCACATATTTCAGTGAACCTATTCTCTGGAGTATTTAAAAATATTTCAAATATGAAAAAAGTTTGTTTATGACTTACATGTATTTATTGGTCATTCATATAATACTGTACATAAAATGAGTAATGAAGAATCAAAAAAGTCTGGATAAGTTTAGTAGCAGTATCATTTTTTTTATTCTTTAGCTTCACTTTATGGGTGTATAGTGCTTGTCAGTTCAAACCAAATCCATATTAAAAATGTACGGTATGAACTGAAAAAAAATTTAAAATCAGGTTATTTACTCTAGCTAATGTGTTAACACTGTGCTTAAGTTACACAAGTATGCAAAATGGACAAATGATGCATATTAGTTTTGTTTTATAAATAAAACAAACACTTTTTTGCTTTATTGTACATTTTAATAGTTATTAATGGTTTTATTTTTAAACACTGCCCATATATCTGTGCTGGCCAGGATAATCATGTCATTCAAATGGAAGGGGTGGGCGGACTGTAATCCAAAAATAAACAAATGGTTTGATGATGTAATGAATTTCAACAGGTAGATTATAAAACACTGTTACCAAGTCTTTCACATAGTTTGCATGTATATGACCAGACTGATAAAATGAGTGTAATTCACTCATGAAAGATGCAGAAAGGCTGGGGCTTTGTTAGTCTTATTCTGACTTGTTGCGTGCTGCTCTATCTAGTACTTTTGATGAATCTCTCTGAACACTTCTACAGGTAAGAAATAAGTGTATTGACTAAGTAAATCTTTTGAAAATATTCTAAATTTGTCTTATGGTGTAATAGTGATATTCTTCTGACTTGTATATTGGTATTATTACTAATTTGTTCCTGTTTTTAATGTACATTTTCCTCCTCATTAGCAAAACTTTCGTCATTTCTGCACTGATTTTATCACCACGTGGAAATACTAGTTTGCAAATAACTGAAAAACCCTTTCACTCTGCTGAGCAAGAAGTGACCATTACACCTATACCGGTTCTCTACAAGAACAATTTTACAAAACTGCCAGTGTGGGATTTCGAAGATGTTTATTTGCGAGACCATCAAGCAAGAAAACCTGTAAGTGCTCCTTTTTTCAATACTATTCTCGCGTCACGGTGCAGCTGTGCAGTCGTTTTGATCCTTTGAAAAATCACTTTTTCCGTAGACATGTCCTAAGTCCCTTCAAAACACAGAGGATCCCAAGTTCAAGGAGGCTGCCCTTTCTGATATTCAGCTGTGGCTATACAAAGGTCAACTCAACATAACAGAATGGAATCGATTAGCACACTTCAACAATCCTTTTGGCTTCATGGAGTACAATTACAATGGTGATCATCTAAGGCAAATTACACAACATTTCTGGCAGATTTTTCAAGTTAAAGGCTATGGGTGTGTAAAACCTCTGGCACATCCTGCATATGTTTGAGAAAGGTGTGTAGTAGGTTATTATTGCTTCATCATAGGCTTGATGCATTATAAATAATGTAAACAGATCTCTCTTTCCTTATTCAAAGAAACATTATGTGTTCAGTATAATTAAGCTCAAATCAGTTGACAGCATAATTTTAATTACTCGTCCCATATTTTCTTTTAAAAACACCATGAAATCAAAACTGACCATTTTTAATTTTTATGGTATATTGCAGTGTTTGATATAAATGATTTATCCGTGCACATTTTTTCAAAATGTATGTGCCCTCATAATCTTTAATCAGAATAGCTTCTCCCTCTTGCAACGACATCTCTCGTTGACATGTTTACTGGTGGGAGGCAACTTGATCAACTCAACATGATCAATGGGATAGGAGAAATAATGTTCATCGTCCTGTATTTTTCTCGTAAGCCGCAATAGGGTAAAGATTGATTGATTGTCTGGATTACAGTGAGGCACTTACAATGGTAGTAAATATGGTCAAGTCACAAAACTAAAATACTAGTTTCAGTTGACTTTAGTCAGGGTAGCGCCATATTTAATTTTCGACAGGGATGAAAACGAGGCTGTGAGGGATAGAATAAAATGCGTTCAATGGATTGTACTGTTTAACAATATACAGATTATTCAGCTGATGAAACATCTTTAGGGAAAAAAACTTTCAGTGGACAAAAACAGTTTTAAATGTTGTGAGTTGTGAAAATTACATGATCCGGAACCTTTGTTCAGTGCTTGCCATCGTAAAGAATGTAGGCTAATGGCGCTTTTCCACAGCTGGTACGGCTCAGTACGGTTCGGCTCACTTCGCTTTTCCACTGCTGGTACGGCTCGGTACGGCTCAGTACGGTTCGGCTCGGCGCGGCACGGTTCGGCTCGCTTCGCTTTTCCACTGCTGGTACGACTCGGCTCAGCACGGCACGGCTCGCTTTAGCTCGGTTTGCTTTTCCACTGCAGTTAGTAACTTACCGCTTCAACAGACTGATCTCATGAAATGGCGTATGTATGACACGCCAATTCGTATTTTTTCATTTTTGGCGTGCTATCAACACGCATAATCGCTTTTCAGCGTGTTTATCAACGCCTTTGACTTAACGTTATATTACTGTATTATGTATATATAAATATATGACCTACCCCAACCCCGTCCCTAAACCTACCCGTCACTGGGGTTAATACCATTTATGAGTCTTCTCCTACCATCCTAGGAAAAGAAATATCGCTCCACAGATGTAGATATAGATTTTGCTTCGTTTCGCTCGGACATTTAACGGCGTACACATACACGCGGAATCACTCGGACATTTAATGGCGTAGACATACACGCAAAAGATTTCGGCGTGGACATACACGCGGATAGCTCAAAATGCGTATAAATAACACGCCACTTGACTTGAAAGTGGCGTGTATGTTTACGCAAAGTCATGATGTCATGTTGCCTTCAAAGTGGGTGGGATTATAGATGGACCGTTATAGTTTATCCGCTCCTCGGCAACCAACGAGACGAACGTCTGCACTTCGTCCACTGACCACGATTCAGCCATTTCTTTTTTATGGAAGTTTTCTTTCTTTCTTTTTTCTTCAAGCAAGTCAAGCAGTTTTAAAACAGGTGCTACAGCGGTGGCTGTTGTCTACTGGCTATTTAAATCGAGTGGGTTTAGTGTCTCGTGTCGGAAATACAATGACGCTGATAGTGACGATTCTGTCTCTCTGACCAATCAGTGATCTGTTGTGTTTCACGTCACATTTTAGTATCGGTACGGTACGCTTGGAACCTCAACAGAGCAGGTAACATTTAAAGCGAGCCGAAGCGAGCCGTACCGTACCGGACCATGCAATGGAAATGCGCCATAAGTGAGCCGTACCGAACCGAGCCGTATGTACCATGCAGTGGAAAAGCGCCAAGGCGTGCCGTACCGAACCGAACCGTACCGTTCCATGCAGTGGAAAAGCGCCATAAGTCTATCCCTCACCTTAATTTGATTTGTCTGTAACCTCAATTTTTGTATTAAAGAAAAAAGGGACGGCTAAAAATATATTTTTGTTCTAATTATTGATTGAGCTTAACTTGCAACCTTGAAATATTGGATGAATTTGGATGCCATCCCAGACAGCAACATAGTGTCGGGCCAGATCCGGGCCACATCTGGTACATGTGGATTCCATGCGTCAGATATGGGCCGGATCTGGGCTGACACTATGTTGCTGTCGCACTTTGTATTCCTTTACGTACACGTACATTGTTGTTTTTTTCCACTGAAGAGGTGAAAAAAGCAGTGGACTTGATACCAAAGCCCAAGTCTTCAATATTACTGCCTGTGCCTGAAGGCTCAAAAGATGGCTGTATCCGCTGTGCTGTTGTGGGCGCTGGTGGTATCCTCAATAACTCAAAGATGGGCAAAGAGATAGACTCCCATGATTATGTTTTTCGGTAAGCGTGAAACTAAAATTATCTTTGCGAAAAATGTCTAAGGTAGAGTTGACAATTGAATGAAAAAGTTATTATTAAAGGTCATGACTGTGCATTCTGATACTGTTTATTCTTAAACAGAGTAAATGGGGCTGTTACTCAAGGTTACGAGGAGGATGTTGGAAATAGAACATCAGTTTATGTGCATACAGCTTTTTCCTTATATGCCTCCATGCTGAGATTAAAAAAGGAAGGCTTTGACAGTATTCCACAAGATGAGGTCAGTATTTTTTACACTGAATTCTAAAATAATAAATTCACTGTAATTTGCATATACTCACTTCAATGCACTATGCAGCTGTGCTCTTCATTAAGAATTATTTATATAAGTTAAGTTTTTAAGTTACGTTTTTTTTCAGTGGCAGGCAACACTACTTATTCAAATATTTGGGGTTGCTACGATTTTTTTATGTTATTGAAAGAAGCCTCTTCTGCTCACCGAGGCTGCATTTATTTGAACAAAAATATTATTAATTCTTAATATTATTGTTAAATATTATTACATTTCAAAAGAACTTTTTTTCTATTTTTAATATGTATTAAAATGTCATTTTAGATAAAAATGTAATTAAAAGCTGAATTTTCCGCAGCAATTACTCCAGTTTCCAGTGTCACATGATCCTTCAGAAATCATTCTAATAGGGATATATTGCATATTATTATATTTCAATAATAGAATCACACACACACAAACATGCATATATATATATATATATATAACACTCTGGTGTTATTCAATAGGGTATCAAATATGTAATGATCCCTGAGGGCCTGAGGGACTTTGAGTGGCTCCAAGGCCTTTTGCAGGGAAAAGTTGCCAACGGTTCATTCAAGGGTGTGAGGTAAAGTATCCAGCTCTGCAAGTAAGCAAGATGAACTCGGTAATATTAATACAGAAGTTCTTTGAGTTAATTTTCACCACAGTCAACTGGCCAATCAGGATTAAGTATTCCAGAGAGCTTATAAATAAATAATCTGAAACCTTACTATGTTTGGCTCCTTGATAAGTGGTATATATTTATCACTGTGCTCTTGATTTGTTTGAAATCCAACATTTGCATTTATTATTTCGTAGGCCCCTGGATTATTTCAATGGGAATTTTAATGAGAGTAGATTCTACGTTCTTCACCCTGATTTTCTTCGATACATTCGCAACAGGTAACATTTATGTTTACAGTGACCAGTTTGTTTGGTCATAGAACAACCTAAGTGCGATCTATCTTTTGAATGACCCCTATTTTTTTTAATAGATTCATGCCATCCAAACAAATGCAGGGCAATTACTGGGCTATATACAGACCGACCAATGGAGCGTTTGCTTTGTTTTTGGCTATTCACACATGTGATATTGTAAGTAAATGCAATTTTTTTTTACTTATTCTTTAATATCATGCTGTTTGTAGCTCTTTAAAAACTGAAAAGTATTTTTTTTGTTCATATCATCATAATTGCATTGTATTAGTAATACTTTAACATTACTTGAAAATGTTTTATGCTCAACATCAGGTGGATGCCTATGGATTTATTACAGAAGACCACCATAAGTACTCCAACTATTATTATGAAAAGTTAAAAAAAACCAGTGTCATTTTCTATATTAACCATGACTATGGCCTGGAGATAAAGACCTGGAAGAAACTGCATGACTTTGGAATCATTAGACTCTTCCAAAGACACTAACACATCAAAAACAGAAGGTAGACAACAGGTGTTATTTTAAAAGATATTTCCAAGTTGTGATTCTGTGTCTTGGTGGTTGGTTTTTCATGGGCAAAGTGGACAAAGGAAAGCTATGGACTTAAAGGAAACTTCTGTGAAATGCTGCGAGTGAAAGCATGTTTTTGGTTTCCTTTTTTATAGCGAAAGCTGATATTTATATATTTAAAACATTTTTCTGTATATTTTTTATTATTTTTTTATTATTAATCATTACTCTTTTTATGACTTTATTAGTTTTTCTTTTAAATGCTAAATAGATTAATATTTTCCTAAAACTGGGCTTCCAATAGCCATACACAAACATAGGACCAACTTTAAAGAAGTATTAACTTTAAAGATTAACTTTAAAGATATTTAGATCAATATTTTATGGTATATTTTTTATAGCTCCATGTCCTATATAACAAATTCTGTGGATTGCAGAAATCTGTATTGATACGCATTATAAAACAACATGAAGAGAAGAATAAAAAGAGGTTACACTTTATTTATGGTGTCTGTGTTACAGTGTAATTATGCATTTAGATACTGTGCAATAATAATTAACAACATGTACTTACTATGGGGTTAAAAATTGGGGTTTGGTTTAGGGTTAGTTGCACGTAATTATGCATAATTTATAGTTATTACTACTGTAACTACATGCAACGTGTAACAAGAACACTGTAAAATAAATTCTTACCTAAAAAGACAAATGCATGTTTGTTTTCATGCTGATTTATCCAAAGTACTAATGAACAGCACACTTCTGTGAAAGATTTCTTTGATTTGCTAGTCTTCTTGAGTTGTAATCTGATACAAATTCACTGCATCATCAAACCATGTGTTTATTTTAGGATAAGGGGAAACCGGAACTAGTCGTCACACTTTCTCCAGTAAATATTTGTCAAGGTTGGGTCCCTAGAGGAAAGGTAGTGTAATATGTTAACTTATCATGTTGACACTGTATAACATTATACATTAGTTGTCAAATATGATTTCTGGAGAAGATAATTTCACAATTTGCTTTGTGACACTTCAAGTATTAAACAATCAAAACATGAGGTGCATGTTTATTGGGAGGAAGGATTCACTAAACTTGTTTAAGGTATTAAAAATGACAAAATGATTAGGCATAAAAGGCAAACTCAAACATATAATTAAATATGGGTTTATTGCATTATGCAAAAAAGGCATAGAGGAAATATAGCTTACATTGACTACAATGTAATCAATTATGTTGGTTCTCCCTTATTTTTGATACAGCCATTCTCCTGGGCATTGACTCGCTAAACTGTGTCACGCTTAACTTCTTTCCAATTCTCCATATGTTCTTTTATGTGTCTTATCACTATTCAGCTTTATAATTTCACAAAGGTTTTCAATGGCTTTAAGTTTAGGAGACTGAGGAGGCCACTTGACAACTTCAAAATGCTGAGCATGAACACTTTCATTGCACGCAACTTTGTTTCATGCGTAATGCGTGGTGTGTTTGGGATTGTAAGACTGGAAAAACTGAAGAACTGTAAGAGAGGGCTACTCTCTGAGAGAACAAAGGAAATTAGCATTTCAACTCACTCTTGTGCACCATTCGAGACACAAGTCTCACCTCAGAATCATTCTAATCTACATCTCTTTCCCTCTACCCCCACTCTATCTCTCTCGTGCTGAGATCACCTGAAATTCATCCAAAACATATATGGTTTTAATGTGAACAATTATCATACAGTTTTATACATGTTTGGTATCATTTGAAATGTCTCAGTGCGACTGGTACAAATGTCTCATTCCCAAAGAAGTAAGCCAAAAGGTAATAAAGTTTTTAAGAGTTTAGAAATATCTTGCACACAGAAGGGTGTGAAGGGTTCAGGCAAATGCTCTCAAAAGGTGTCACCTCTGAATGCAAATGTCCATTGTTAGCACATGTTTCCATATGAAAGAAGTTTCTGTCTATAAAGAAATGCAACAAGAGAATCGGGGCCTTCTGTACTTCAGATGAGCCCATGAGTCCGAGAGTGGCCGTCTCTCAGCTTCATGTATTTCTTAAATGTCAGGTTTGCATCTCTTCTCTTTATTCCAGAGGATTTGATGTTTTGTATTGATTATCTTTGAATTGATTATGAAATTCGCATAATACATTTACCTGACATAATAAATTGTAAACATTTGATTTTATTCTAATCGACTCTGACATTATTTCCAGTAAAGAGTTAAAGGAATAGTCAAACATTCGCTCACATTTAATGATGCACAGATATCATTAAAAACCTTTTCATTTATGGAGTCAGATGAAATAATACATATGAGAAATGTATTTGATTTAATCAAAATTAATCTGCCACGTGGAAAGACAGTAACACGCAGATACCTTCCCTGCTGATCGGATGCCTCCATTGGGCCGATCGAGCCGGGCCTTACAAGATTGTCATCATGTTGCAAAGTACACATTTGATCTCCATACAGATCCTCCATCATACTTGGCTACATTGTGTTCAGCAGGATTCCCAAGTATTGATTAATTTTCAAAGTGCCAGCAAATTTGGAAATCCTTCCAACACCTTCTGCAGACATGTGTACCCAATACCATTATGTTTCCCACATGCTTAATGGTACCCAATACCATTATGTTTCCCACATGCTTAATGCTTACCATCCATGCATTTGATATTAAAACATTCCAGTCATCTTCTGACACCATCCAAGGCTAGGATGTTAGATTTTGACTTGTTGGACTGCAGAACATGGCTCCAATCTTCCATACTTCAATCCTCATGTTCTTTGGCAAATGCAAGGTGTTTTTTTTTTTAGTAGATTTTTTTTTTTTTTTTTAGAATGTACTGGTACACAACCTCTCAATCTAGCCTGTTATATCTGTTGGCTTACAGTTCACGATAAAATTGGAGGTCGGAGATCTCATTCTCATTCAGAAGCTGTTTTAAGGTGGTTCCACATTCAAGTGATTTTCATCCTGTCAAAATGCTGTCCAGCTACAGCACTTCACATTCTGCATGGAAGTGGTCTCACTATGCTTTGAAATAATTATGTGGACATTGTGACAATTTACATCCAGCACATGAGCCGACTGAGTTTTAGCCATTTCAACAATATCCTTATTGGTTGCAGAGATACAGCTCTTTCCATCTGGCAATTTTTACTAAAATTCATAAAACAACATCTTAAAATATAGCTAATATTTGCCACATAATGATTAATTATATCATAGGCTGCGCACAAACAAGTGCTTTCGACCTTCTTTTTGATTTGAATGGAATGCAGAAAACATTTTTTGCAATAGACTTGTCTACCCAGAACGCAACCGAATGCTTCTTCAAGCACCTCCTACTTGGAAAAACACTGAAAACTACTTTTAAACAGGAAATGATGGAATATACTCTGATCTATTTGCACTGGATTAGCATTACCTGAGGTCATTTTTTACAGAAGGTAAAAGTCGCCGTAATCTTTACTGACATTTTCTAAAATCACTGAGAAGCTCTGGTAATAATTACTCTACCCCACCTGTCCATGTTAAACTAATCCCGTCCGAATAGGGCTCCAGACTAAAATGCATGTTTGAGCTGTTTTAACTGAAAGCAACTTACACTGACATAATCAAATCAAATCAAAGTTTATTTATAGAGCACCTTAAAAAACACACTGTGTACCAAAGTGCTGTACAATTTCAAACGAATTAGATAAAACACAATAAAATATAAGAAAGAATAGAATATAAAAATGAAGAAGTTGTAAAATACTATAGATATAAAATCAAAGTCTAGCGGTCAGCAAAGGCCTCATCAAACAAATATGTCTTAAGCTAAGATTTAAACATGGTTACAGAAGTAGAGGATCTGATGAACATTGGTAACCCATTCCACAACCTAGGAGCAGCGACTGAGAAAGCACGATCTCCTTTAGTTCCCTTTCGAGAGGTTCCTCTTATTGCGTAAGCTTACGCTATGGGGAAAACTCCTTTTCTCGAGAAATATTGAAGTCTTTATGTAAAACGCATTGCAGCTGCACAGCATACAGCAATGAGCGAGGCAGCTCGGTCATTGGCTGTGCTGCGGCAACTTGCACGAACCAATGACGGGGCGACTCTGAACCCGCTTCCAATGAGCGTGCTTCACGCCCATGCGCGTCAGAGCCCGCCAAGATGGGCGTGGCCAAGGGCTATATATTGGGCGCCCCGTCGTCTGAGTTCTTCAGATTTAATCTCCTTCAGCAAAGAACCTTCTCTTTCGCTGGATCCTCCGGATTTGTTGGAGTCTTTTCGCCGCCGCCGTCGACAAGCCTACAGCAGGACTGCTTCGAGGACGCCGGCGCCTTCAGCCGCCTTCGATCGCCCTTCTGCTAAGCCATCCGGCGCGCATCATCTAATATCCTTTCAAAAGCTATCAGTGTTCGCCCCCGCGACACTTTCTAAAAGAGCAAATTTAACAAGGCGTTGTTTCAAATGCCTTCCTGCGCCTCGTGTCGAGGCCCTCTTCAGGACGGGGATCGTCACATCATCTGCGCCCGCTGCCTGGGACCGGACCACGCAGAGGCTGCCCTCACTCGAGGCGGATGTCCCGAGTGTGACGCCCTGGGCCTCACCGAGCTGCGCGCTCGCTTCGCCGTTTTCACCGCGAAAGAGCCCACCTCTTCCGTGCTGCCGTCTCCTCTAGTCGAGCCGCGAAAGAAAAAACGCCGCTCACAGAGGCCGCCGGAGCACGCGGTTTGCAGTGATGTCACGCCGGGCCAATCCCCGCGTGCTTCACCACCACCCGAAGACTCCCCGCCGCCAGTCCAGTTCACACAGGCGGACCAGCACCCCTCCAGCGGAGCGATGGGGCTCGTCTCGTTTGGCGCGTCAGGGGATGACGATGATAAGGATGACAGTTTTTCCTGTGATGCTGCATCCGACGACTGGCCGGGCTCGTCCTTCGACCCCGCTCCATCGACATCAGCGGGCACGAGCGCGGGCTCCAGCATGGACTCGGAGATCGTCCGCATTCTC